TTCCATGACTTGAATATAGAAAGGTGGGTAAAGGTGGCGAATCAATGCATGAAGGTTCTTTCGAGGAAGAACACCATCATCAAATGACTCCTCGTATACTCGATCAATGGAAGGAAGATTGGCTTGGCCATAAAAGATGTATCAGTCTTTTCGAATACTGAGATAGTAGGAGTGTTCAAGGGTTAGACGAGAATTTAATGCAAATGATGAATGACAGTTGCATTTCTGAGAAATGCAAAAGCCCATGCACGTTTTAAGACGTGGGAAAATACCTTGATCCACTAATATCACCAAGTATTAGGTATATTAGTGCGGGGGGTAATGTTAGCTACATATTTTGTATAAAGCCAATCACAGTTCAACACGTAGTAGGTTGAGGGTTATACAGGAAGACAATTCAAACCTTCGATCGTGATCATCCACGTGACAGTTAGTATTGGTTCTTACCAGATCTGCGTCACACTGGATCAACAAAGAGGTGCGAAGTGATGTGGTTTCAACGGTTACTCACATTCAAATTCAAAATTAGGAGAGAAGCCTAACTGCAAGTAATGGCATAGTGGAACTAACTATAAGGCAACATGATCAGCGATCATGGAGGAGTGATTCGACGGTTAGAAGTGCAGTTCGATGGTCATCATTGAGAAGTATAAATAGCAGAGAAGGCCCTAGAAAAAGGCCTAGACTCAGATCCAAAAAACCAGTTTTATCTATTTTATTTCCTTTCCAGTTTTACATTTCCTGTTCTTTGTATTTCTGTACTAGAGATGGCAATTTGAAACCGGCCCAACGGGGATCCCCGATCCCGACCCCGATTTAAGCGGTTTTTTCCCGAAAAATACTCCCGACGGGGAGGGAATGGTATTCAAAAATTAATCCCCGATTAATTTCGGGCCGGGGACAGGGATAGGCTCGTCGGCCCCGGCCCCGGCCCCGGAATTTCCCCGATTCATCCCGCCTCTGTATCCGTTTGTATTATATAAATATTAGTTGTATTATATTTTGTATTATATAAATATTATATAAATATTAGTTGTACTTTTGATCTCAACTCTATATTATATAAATATTAGTTGTACTTTTGATCTCAATTCTCTCAGATCTCAACTCTCTCGTCTCTCAACTATCTCACTCTCTCTGACTCTTATCTTCTCTCTCAACTCTCTCTCTCTTCACTCTCTCGTTCTCAACTCTCTCTCTTTCTTAACTCTCCCTCCTCCTCTCTCTCCCCGCCGATCTCCCTTCTCTACCTGCAGATCTCTCGCCGATCTCCCTCTTCCTCTTCCTCAGTGAAGAAACAGATCCAAAACCCAACAAATCTCACAGATGATGATGACGATGCAAAATTAAATAAAAAAGAAAATCAAAATTGATGATTACATACCTAATGAAATCTTTAAGTTTATTGGGGGGTTTGTACTTACATACCTAAAGAAAACTCAACTCTGTTTCATGAGATTCAAAATATAATACACATCTTGTGTTTGTTCTTGACCTCTCTCTCTCTCTCTGTGAATGTTTCTGATTTTTTATTTTTTATTTTTTGCATCTGATTTCCCATCTATACGATTTGTTGGGTTTTGGATCTGTATTAATTTTTTCGATTTGTGCGATCTGTTCTGTATTAATTTTTCTAATCTGTGAATGTTGTTGTTGATGATGAAAATCTATATTTCATATCTGTGAATGTTTCAGATTTATGTGTGGGTGCGATTTGTGTGAATGTTTCAAATCTATGTTGATATTTTTTTTTTTTTTTTAACCTTTCTTTTGGTCGGGGAATTTTTGGGGTTGGGGAAACCTGATCCCCGTTAAGGGGCGGGGGCGGGGGCGGGGGCAGTGATGAGCTCCCCGTCGGGGTCGGGACCGGGGACGGGGGGAGTTTCTACCATCGGGGATCGAGGACGGGGAGGGTGATCCCCGGCTCCGCCCCGCCCCGCCCCGTTGCCATTCCTATTCTGTACTTTAAAATTCCTGCACTACACTTCGTTCATAGGAGTAGTTTCAAGTAAATTGTTGCTGTAAACCTCTACGAGGCTAAATTGGATCATTGTAAGTCTTTCGTTTTACATAATGAAATACTACAATTGTTCTTCATTTAATCGTTGTCAGTTTATTCCTCCTAAGTAAAGCGACCAGTAAAAGTCCTCTTCATTGAGGCTGAAAGAACTAAAACACAATCGTCTGATAATTGGTTGGCAATTAAATTTCTGTAAGGATTGATTGATCCTTACTGGCATGCTCACAATTACAAAAATAACCTTCGAAAGCCAAAAAAGCCAACAATAACCCAAAATTCTATTCAAAACTCATAAAAAATTTTAAAAAAAATTCACAAATATTTTTTTTGTAATATAAAAATAAAAAAAAACAAAAAAAAATGAACACTATTCCGGTCAACTTGCCAGATGACGGGTGGGACGACCGGTTAACCCAAATTTTCCTACCTTGGAAAAAGTTTTCAAAAGTGAGTGTGAAATTAATTTTTGAAAACGCTAAACAAACACCACACTCAAAAGTGAGTGTGGAACTATATTAATTTTTGGTTTTTTTTTTAAAAAAATATGTAAAAAAAACAATAAAGAAGTGATGTGATGTGAAAAAATTAATAAATTAAATTTTGGAAAAACTACCAATAAGTCTTAATAGTTTGACTTAATTTCCATCAAGTCCTATTGAAAATAAGTCTTGATAAAATTGTAACTAAAAATGATTTTTTTGTGACAATTTTTTATATATGTCGCTAAAAATTGACAATTAGTGACTTTTTTTGTCATGATTTCTATAAATTGTCGCTAAAACTTACAATTAGTGACTTTTTTATAACAAATTTTTCTCATAGGACCTATTAGACAATAAGTTCACTCACTAGGAACTACACGTAAGTACCCCATTAATTTTTTACCTATTTTGAGAAGTATTTTTTTTTTGACTTATTAACTTATTATGAAAAACGTATAAAAAAAGTAAAAATAATGTAACTTAAGTAAGTCAATACGTTAATAAATTGATTTTTTCATCTACTCAAAAGAGGCCTAAGTGCAGAGTGTTGTGGTGCTCCAGTTAGAGGTTTTTTTCGGAGTCTTTTTTGACAATTTAAACTATTAATTCAAACTTTTTTGAGTAGATCATACAAAAAAAAATTAAATTGATTGAATATTTATAATTTAATAATAAAAATAAACTATTAACATAATCTTAATATTCCCTCCGCTCTAAAATAATAATTCCCTTTGGGAAATCTAATTTTTTTTTATAGTACAATTATTGCACTTTAAAAAAAATTAAAATTTCAAAATTACCCTTTGATAGTACATTTTTTTGAGAAATATCAATTGTCATAATTGTATTTTTTGTGTTATTAATAATTTAAAAGAATGGCAAAATAAAAAATTCGTATTATTTTAATTCTTAATTTTTGAAAAGGGAATAATATTTTAGAACAATAAAAAATATAATAAAAGACTAATATTTTAGGACGGAAGGAATAATGTTTTTAAAATATTTAAAATTTAATCATAAAATTATAAATTTTTGATTAACTTAATTTTTTACATAAATAATATATTAAAAAAATCCAATAATATCAATAATACTATTTCTTTCTTTCTTTTTTTATAGATACATCGGAATTAAATAGCGTCCAACAGCTTGTCTCATGTTGAGCGCAAGATTGGACCGTCCAATCCGGCCTATGGGCTCATTTTTGGACCCTATTTTGATAATCCGAACATTAATGTGTAAAACTCGTCGAGTAATATATTCTTGTAAAAAATCACATTAATTGGGTATCGATAGCTATTTGATCGGATTAGATTTATATTTAAAAAAATAAACGGTTGACAGAATTTTGATCCGATCAAATAGCTATCGATATCCGATCAACATAATTTTTTACAAGAATACAGTACTCGACGAGTTTTACACATTGAACGGTTTGAATTATTAAAACGAGATCCAAAAATAAGTCCATGAGCCGAACTGGACGAATCTAATCCTCATCTATATAAGATAAACTGGGTTGTTTGGAGTATCCTAAATAAGTGCACTTTTTGACCTTTTTGACTAAAAAGTTGAGGAAAAAAAAATGGTTGTTTGGGTTAACTTTTTGACTTTTTACGAAAAAATGTGTATTAAAAAATTGTATAAATTAGTGTATAGGAGAAGATAAGGACAGTAGGCAGTACGACCGTACTGTCTGAGCAGAGTGAATTGATGATAAGAAATGGTTGCCTACTTTTCGGACATTGCATTGAACGGTGCTGTGCAACCCGTAGGGGCCATCACGAGTCCCGTTTTGATAATTTGAACCATTAATGTGTAGAACTCGTCAAGTACTATATGCCTGTAAAAAATCACGTTGATCGGATATCGATAACTATCTGATCGAATTAGTTTTTTTTCAACTGTAAACTATAACACCATCTATTTTTTTTATATATACAAAATTGATTTGATCATATATTTAGCGATATTTGATCAACATGATTTTTTACAGACATATAGTACTCGACGAGTTCTACATATTGAACGGTTCAGATTATCAAAATGAGACCATGATGGGCTCCCACGAGTTGAACAATACAGTATTATTTGTGCACCTCGCCTGTGTAATTTTTCCAAAAAACTCAGCTATGTGTCTGTGGGACGTCAGACTTGTTGGTTATGTTCTTTGTGAAAAATTAATTTTTTTATATTTATTTTTTCAATGAATAATAATAATTTTTGTACTCTTTTTAATAACTTTTTATTTTTTTTTAATTTTTTATTTTTTTTAATATCCTCTCAACCACGCCTAAAGAATATTATTTCACCTCTGCCTAACATCCTCCTTTAAATTACTGATCCAAAAAAAAAAAAAGCATCCTCCTTTAAATTCTATTATACACAAATTTCTAACCTTTACCGTTACTGTTACACTGGGTTTGATTGGATGACCTAAAAAAATATAAAAAAATATATACATATATATATATATATATATATTTGTAATTTCACATATGTTTTTTCGTTCCTTTCACTTTCTAAATCATTGCTTAAATTCCCAAACTAAACACACCAGAGGAGAGAGAGAGAGAGACAGACGTAGAAGGAAGGAGAGAGAGAGAGAGAAACCTTGCAATCGTTTTGGGTAAGCTGCATTTTTCATTACTTTTGGCGTCTCTGCAAACTCACTGTCAACATTTAAGTCTCGTCGCGCTCAGTAATCTTTACATATCTTTCTTTTGGCTTTTTTTGGTTTGGTTTCAATTTCAACTTGCGATTCACTTTCAAGAAATTAGTAATAATGCTTGGTACTTACATTATATTCACAGAAACAATTTGTTGAAAACGAATTTTGAAGAAATATTTTATTCTTACGGAGTAACAGAGAGAGAGAGAGAGAGAAAGAGGGAAGCAGTGGAGATCGCGCAGTCTGATGGCTAGGATTGGATCAAAAAGTACAGTGGTTGTTCTGGTTCTGTTTGTTGCTCTTGTTCTAGCTTCTTCTGTGTTGGTTTCTGCAGAAAGAAGTTTGAAACAGGTCTTTTCAAGTGATGAAAATGGGACTATTCAAGAGGTTGACTCCAATTACTTCAACAAAGTACTTAATTTCTTAAGGCAAAAGGGTCAATCTCAATTGGGTTACCACCATGCTTGGCCGGTAAGTCCAATTTTTTTTTTTACAATAAATAGTTTTGAATATTTTACTAATTCTGGTACTGGATGAGTGATATAAACTAGATTTTATGGTTCTTATATTTTTATTAGGAATCTTCTAGTTTAATGTATAATGTTAGAATTTCTTAGATTGTGTTAATTTAGCTAGTTTTGTTAGTTAGGTTTATTATAATAATGGTTTTAAGCTTTAAGGCAAGAGAAGTTTTGAGAATTAATAATCTTGGATGTTCGTTTTGAATCAACCATAGTTAAAAGAATATTCCTTGTGAATCAACGAGTCTAGAGAAAGATCTTGCTTTCAATAGTAATTCTTCAAAGTACTCATAACTTTGTGAATTTGATTCACACTTCACAGGAAATGAAATTTGGGTGGAGGATAATTGTGGGTACGATAATTGGGTTCTTTGGAGCTGCATTTGGGAGTGTTGGAGGTGTCGGTGGGGGTGGTATTTTTGTTCCCATGCTTACGCTGATAATTGGGTTTGATGCAAAATCATCAACTGCAATTTCAAAATGTAAGTGTTGTATCTCCCTTTTCAGTTTAGGAATGGTTAAAACTGCTTTTCCCTCTCTTTTTTTATTTTTTATTTTTTATTCTTATGGATGCTAAAATGTCCTCCAGAGATTTCGCATCTATGAAGAGTACTTTTCCAGTAGCTTTTCAGTTGGATGTGAGAAGCTAGAAGGTTAAAACCAGACCTTTCATTACAGAGGCAAATACTAGTTAATTCAAAATATTGATTATCATCCCAAAATAATGTCTCAATTTTTGACCGGTTAGAAGTTTTTGCACTGAAATTTCCCAGGCACTATGTCACTCGAACTATTTTGACATGATGCAGTTGTTTGTTCCGTTGTTTTTCTCTCATTGCACTTTGTTTGCCTGTTTTGGTTAATTTTTAATATAGGGCTGTATTCTAATTGGAAGTTGATACCCATAATCTGAAATTTTGGTTTCACTAGGTTTCATTTTTGTATAGATCATTTTTCAATCTATCACACACTGAAAATTAGGAATATTTCTCTGCAGAATTACAATGCACTATGTTAGTGAAACACACAAGCAAATGTATGTGCTCTTGTTTGTTTGTTTGGTAGGTATGATCACGGGAGCAGCTGCTGCAACTGTTTACTACAACCTCAAGTTAAGGCATCCTACACTTGACCTACCTATCATTGACTATGACCTGGCACTTCTTTTCCAACCAATGTTGGTCCTGGGGATTAGCATTGGAGTTACTTTCAATGTGATTTTTGCTGAGTGGATGGTTACAATCTTACTCATAATTCTTTTTTTAGGTAATAATGCTTTCGATTGCAATTTTGCCTATTTCTTTTATTGGAAAATTTTCTTGATTGGTCACAATTATCTGTAGGCTCGTCTACCAAGGCATTCTTCAAGGGTGTTGAAACATGGAAGAAAGAAACCATAATAAAAAAGGTTGTACTCTCTAGTGTTTCTTAAAATATAATACAACTTAGAACCATCCCTTGTCTCACTTATTTCTGATTTTCAGGAGGTTGCTAGACTTTTGGCATCTAATGGTGAGTTGGCTTGCCATCTTTTCAATTTTAGAAATTCCGAAGGATTCCTAGGTAGGGTAATTTTGTGTAAAATTTTGAATTGACCCATATCATCCTTTGCTATCTAATCAGGTAGCGGTAATGTGGAAGTGGAATACAAACCTCTCCTTGGAGGCCCCGTCAATGGCACCCAAATGGAATCCAAGGAATCTCAAAAATCAGTGGTACAATATATCCACAAGATTTTTATTTGTGACTTGTTGTTACTAAGGCTGACTTATGTAATGTTCACAGGTTTCTATTGTTGAGAATGTCCGCTGGAAGGAACTTGGCATGCTTGTTGCTGTCTGGGTTATCATCCTTGCCCTGCAGATTGCCAAGGTTTCTATTGGTCGTATGCATATCTTTCTTTGAATGCGTTACTTTAGGATTTCTCTGTGTATGTGCATTTATTAGCTAACATAATATTGGAACTTTTGCATGTTGGATACAGAATCACATGACAACTTGTTCTGTAGCATATTGGGTGGTAAATCTGTTGCAGGTACTTTCTGTGACTAATCTAATAGTTAGAAGGTCTTTACATGCAGTCATAATTCATCAAGATGAATGTCTGAATAGTATCATTCCCTTACTTAACTCCCGTGCCTCAGGTTCTGACCGACTACTGTTGGAGTATCTGCATATGAAGCGATCAGCTTATACAAAGGGTGGAGAGTAATAGCATCCAATGGAGCAGAAACAAACTGGCGAGTGCACCAGTTGATTCTTTACTGTTGCTGTGGCATTCTCGCTGGTATAGTAGGTGGGCTGCTAGGTCTTGGTGGAGGATTCATTTTGGGTCCTTTGTTTCTTGATCTGGGAATCCCTCCTCAGGTGCGTTTTGTGCTTTCCAATAACATGAAGAGATGCTGAGTAGTTTACATTTGATTTTGGATGTCAGATTTTATATCTTCAAGCATAGCTAATAGTTCAAGCAATATCAATCTAATAAATCCTCAGAGTTGAATTCAGTGAGTTGAAAAACATGTCATTTAGTGGTTGAAAGAGATATATTCCTATGTTAAAATATGCCCTCAAAAAATCTGTTCTGTATGTATGAAAGTTTTTTCAAAATTGCTATTTACAAACCTCCTAATTAGCTAGGGTTATCTTATCCTTGACAATCATGGCTGAACTGACTGGTTGAGCATTTTTTGTATGTAGGTGTCAAGCGCCACAGCTTCCTTTGCCATGATGTTTTCTGCATCCATGTCTGTTGCAGAATACTACCTTCTGAGCCGTTTACCAGTTCCTTATGGTAAGTTTTGTTTTTTTTATATTTTTATAATAAATATTTTCACTGATATATGAGGCAATATGTACAGAATCATTGAAGGGAGATGAGGACCCCTTAAACTAAAAAACACAGCTTCAGTTGCTAGCTCTATAACTAGCAGCCACAATAGGAACACAACCAAAGCCTAAAATTCCAATAATCAATTTACTAAACCATGACACAAAGAAGCATCACAGCGGAAATTATCAAATCAACTGAGAAAACAGAGAAACAGCGCAAAACTATTGTGGTTACCTTGTTTGGTGTCTTTTTCCAAAGCCATATCTCTCGAGCCTTTATTTGGCTAGGTTGGTTTTGTGTCTCTGTTTGAGAATTGGTTGCCTTCGGGCATGTCTTGAGCTTCATTATATGTTCTCTTTTTTTGGTAATAAAATGCATGCTTACCCAAAAAAACTATTGTTTCAGAATTTTAGCAGAAATAAATGTTTCAGGCAATAATTGCCAGTTAGCTTGATTGTTTTCTATTTTCCTCCATGAACAAAGTCTGGCTCTGAAATCTTCCTCTGTTAACTTGAGAGGAGTGGTATTATCTTTTTCACGGTTATCATGAAGTAGGTTATTTCTCTCCCTCCAAATGTTATAAGACTGTTATTCCTAAACAGAGTTTATATGCTTCATTTCTAAAACTCTTTCTGTGAAAATTCTGGTTAGCTCATTTGAGTTCACCTTCCCAATTCAAGGGAATCTTGAATTCTTCTTACTTAATTTATTTGCAAAATCTTTTCCGAAATAAAATTTGAGCAAGGACAATCAAAGAAGAGATGATTATGAGACTTGGTGGCTAGATTGCAGAGCAATCAAATGGCCTCAACTTTCATCCCCTAATCTCTCAATCTGTCTTTAATAGCCAGTCTGCCCGAACACAAAAGCCACATGAAGGCACACCCGCGAATATTTTCTTTTGCGGTAAGTTTTCCGGTCAAGTTCTTGGTTTTGGAAGGCTAAGCAATATTAAGCAAAACCCACTTGGCCATAGACTTGTGTATGATTGTCTTGTTTAGATATATTAAACTGTATATTTTGTTTTTCTTATGGTAGCTCTCTACTTCGTTGCTGTGGCCACCATTGCTGCGTTGGTAGGGCAACATGTGGTGAGAAGACTAATCGCTATATTAGGGAGAGCATCTTTGATCATCTTTATCCTGGCCTTCACAATCTTTCTGAGTGCAATCTTATTAGGCAAGTATAATTTAAATATTAATGTTTTGTTTGTGGGGCAAGATTCTTACATTCTGAATGTCTGTTTTGTTGTGTTTTTAGCCCAAAATGGTTTTCTTTTGTCTGTTTCTTGGTTGTAAATTCTATTGTTTATCTTCTAACAGGTGGTGTTGGCATATCGGATATGATTAAAAAGATACCAGAGGATCACAGTGGTTTTGAAAACATCTGTGCATATGAAATATAGATTGTATGTAGTCTTCAACCCCGCCATCCTTGTTGAATGAAAAATCCTGTGTGTAATGTTCCCCCAAGCATCAAAGATGTCTATTCAATGACACGTCACTCTCAAATGAAGCTTTTTTAATTCAAGCTCCATGTTCTGCATTAAATTTGTCCATTGATAGCTTGTTGAGTTGCACCCTTTGAAATGACTATGAAAATGACATCTGTGGTGTATAAAATGAGTCGAGCAAGGGTGATTGGCGCCTTTCTGTGACTCTTTTGCATCAAATGTCTTTGTTAGGAGAAGGTATTTTGGGTAACAGGTACAGCAGTGTGGTATACTGGTTGCCCTCACAGCACATGAAAAGGTTAGAACTAAAACCAGCAAATGCAAGATATGAGGAAATGAGTTCAAATCTTAATTTCAAGACAACATGCATTTTTAATATTGTATTTTATAGATTCAACTATGGCACATTAGGCATAAATCTTGGTCAGGAACACCAAAAAACTATTTGCACTATTTGATCCCATATTCTTTTGAGTTCACACAATTTTTATTTTATTTTGTCTCAATTCACACAACTTATTAGTTCCTATAAAACTTTCAACTTTCTAACCCTAACTCTAACCCATCAGTCACCACCCAGTCACCCCTTCCCCGCTCGTTTTCTTTCGAAAATCCTCATCCTCATCCTCTTCCTTTTCTTTTTCTTCTTTTTCTTTTTTTTTGTCCTCCTAGATGTTGGAGAAGGGGGTCACAGTTATAATTCAAACGTGATAATTTGCCATAAATGGTAATTTGTTTGGGGACACAATCATGATTCAAAAATTCAAAAAATAGTATGAGCTGAAAGAATGTGAGGTGCAAATTGAAACTTCTCTAAAATAATGAAAGGACATTTTGGATAAACACGCTATCTCATTCACATTTGGATAACTGTCATTAGTTTCCATCTTTTATCATTTGGACTCCCACTTCCTTAAATCCTTACCGATCAAAATTGCTTCTACATTTTTTCCTTTGAATCCTCACCATGATTCCAATTATACCCTTTCTTTGGACCCCCAACCCAACCTATACCCAAGCCCCTTTCCTAGCACGCAAGCCCCCACCTCTGCCTCTGTGGATGCCGTTGTTGCCACCTTCAGCGACCCCCTCCCCACATCCCCACTAGCGATTCTCCTCCCCCCTCCGGCAGCCCCCTTCATTCTTCTTCCACACCATATTTAACTCATCATTACCCAACGGCCCCCACTCCATTCCCTCTCCATGCCAGCAACCGTTGCACCTCCCCTTCCTAAGCCACCGCCTCTACAAAAACCTAGTGTGATCACCTCACCACCACCCAACTCATCCTGACACCTACCCATGTGAAAGAGGTGATCACAATCATGAAGAGAGAGAGAGGGGAGGAAGGGTAGTGGCAGCAGGGAGGGGTGGGGCAGGATGGCCAAAACTGGTGGTGGTTGTGGTGGGTGAGGTAGGATTAGGATTAGGATTAGAGTTGGGATTTGGGAAATTAAGATATAACTGAAATTTTATGACAAGGTAAAATCATAATAAAAAAAAACAAAGGTGGTGGGGGCTCCAGACAAAATTGTGGAGGTATTAGTAGCACTCCATTTGGATTGAGTACACCTCAGTCACAAAACCTAACTTTATTTGTTACAGAAGGTGGTGGGAATCCAAGAGTAAAGTTGAGGGCCATTACCACAAGGAAAACTCCACTGCTCATGATCCCCAATGCATTCAAAACATTAAAAAAATAATAATAATCTGTACCCAATATTTTTTTTACCCTAATGATAGAACAAGAGAGAGCTAGAGTTTCAAATCCTCAAATGGGCAAAAGATACAACACGTTATTCACTTAAATTTCATCTGTAGTTGCACAAATTCATAACAGATCTTAATTAATCACATTATTCTTTGCATACACAAACATCAAAATCAATTGTAAATACATGTAAACATACAAGAGAACCTTTGTAAACAAACCTTTTACAGTTTTTTTCCCACCCTTTCCCCACACAACTAGATTACCTGAATGTCTCAAAACTGAAACTTCTTTCTTTGTGATGGACAGAGATGGAGGACAGGCAACTTTCCAGGACACAGAAGGGTGTCAAAGTTCAAGTAATCGAGCAAACATCAGCCATAAAAGCAGGAATCCTTCTTGAAACTTATGGGTTTGGTGCTCGTAGAGTCAATGACCAAGGGACAAGAAATTTGAACTCGATTCTTTGTTGTCACCAATTTTCCTACCACATTGCCTCTCGACCTGATTTCAAATTGTAATTTCAACGGAACTTGAACACCATTGTTGATGGAAGGTACTAAACTTGATCCGGCACCATACAAAGGAACCTTAGTTCCTTCTAAAATCACCACCGTGATCCGGTGACTCTTTCTTGGCTGATAATATTTCTTCAACTGCAAGTCATAATGTTCAAAACAGAGTATGCTTTGTTATAATTTAGAGGACGGAGAAACCATGGAGGAAAAAAAGAAAAGAAAGATCAAGAACAAAAAAAAAAAAAAAAAAAGAACAAAAAAAACTCAATGCAGAATCATTCTAGTGAACCAAATTCAACAAAAATAGAGAATGTGACTAGAGATTGATTATCACCTGACCAGTTGCAACACTAATCTGTGAATAGACCAGATTGATAGGCATTGAGCTCACATGAATTCCAAAAAATGTAGCCGGGTTGTATACTCCAATCCTTAGTGAACCGTTCAATGTCAACATCTTCGTTGGGACGCCAGTGGAGTCAGAACCCTCGCCGACATAGATGTTATTTACTGTCAAGCTCTGAAAATACCGGATTATCCATCAGGAAGTGAAGATTTAATGCAAAAAAAAAAAAAAACAATTTGTAAGCATGTGAGTGATTATTATATAAGAAAGAAAGAGACATCAAAGAAAAACATGTTCCAGACTTGATGAATCCATTTCCAGGATGGTGAACTATATGAGAGAATGAAGTGAAAATTGAAAATAGAATTAGAATCTTGAAACCAAATTGAGATGAAAACAGTGTGCTCTGTTTTGTAGCTGTTTTCTTTGTTCCCATGTCATGTCATTACATTTGTCATCTCATATGTGTTTCTATATTTCTTGATGGGAATTTCATTTTCTTTGTAAAGATAAATAAAGATCAACCATTATTAATGTTAGATCACAACAATGTATATCAAATTGAAGCAGTTAAGAAATAGACCAATAATGTATATCAATAATTAGCAATACTTTGTGTGCAACCCCGTTCACATGAAGAGGGGCACGATCACAAGCAAAATAAAATGCATAATGACAGAGATAACACGGTGACAAAACTAGTTACCCCTTGTTTGAAAAAAAATAACCATTTACACCAACCAGCCTATGTGGAACAGATCACACACACGAACAACAAGAAGAAGAATCAATTACACACGCGCACACAAAAAAAAAAAAAGGAAATAGATTTACGTGATTCAATAAAATTGTTTATGTTCACGGCTCACACCAGTTCACTAGAGAATAGTATAATGCGACTACTTGTGTAGAAAACAATATATATGTTAGAATTTACATCATTAAATTACCATATTAAAATCCTTAATACAATTAGACCTTGAGGGCACCGCCCCACTTCTAGGCTGGGGGGCACATGGTGAAATATAAAGTACTAATCAAACTCCACAAATTGAATAATAATTTAGTGAAACCGATAAAATATGGCAAATGGAATTAGATGGGCACAATAATATTGTAATTCCTACTGCAACGCGAGATTGGTCATGGTGATCCCATAAATCCAACACCAAAACAGAGTAATTAGGCATACCTTGACAGAGACCTCAGTTTTGTAAGGCCTGGCAGCACCCCAAATAATCAAACAAAACACAGTGAACAGAACAACAAAACTCAACAGAGCCAACAAAGCCTGAAACCTCCTAGTAAATCTTTTATCATCATCATACTCCTCATATTTCCCCTCTTCCAGAATCACATTACACTCCGGCCACCCCTTATCGTTCCTTTTCCGGCCACCTTTCCCCCCCGACGAAGATCGAAAAATCCCCGAAAACCGACTCGCCGACGAATTCCTAGAGTGCCTGCCAAATGAAGGGTGAGAAGGAGACTCCATTGGACTGTTGTAATTCGGAGTTGGCTGCATCGTCGAGGACTTGTCGCCATCTTGCGAGTCTCTGGAAGGGCTCTGTACATAGTACACTGGCCGTTTTGGAGACCTTGATGGTGATGATGGGGCTAGACTAGTTATGTCGGATTCAGACTTTGTGTGCAACATTTTTCAAGAAACAGATTGATCAACAACACTCAAATCGTCAAATTTCCTAGAGATTTAAGATACCCAGAAAGTTTTGGAGCCGAATAGTGAAATTTCAGAAAGAAGAGAATGAATTGATAAAATTCTCAAGGTACAAGATGGGATTAACAGTGAAACACTCTGTTTTTCGAGAATTAGTTGTAATAATTGATTGACAACACTAGAATATCCCAAAATCACAAATTTCCCAGAGATTTGTGATACCCAGAAAGTTTTAGGGCTGAATTTTGAAATTATAGAGAGTAAAGAGAGTGAATTGATGGAGAAACAAGATGGAGTAGCAGTCTAACACTCTGTTTTGGGAGAACTGGTTGTGATAATTGACTGATAAGACTCAAATCTTCACCAAGTTAACAAATTTTGAAAAGATTTATGATACCGAGAAAGTTTTAAACTGAATATTGAAATTTTAGAGAGTGAAGAGAATAAATTGGCAGTGAAATTGGGCAAAGAGGGAGAGATACAAAATAACAGTCTAACACTGTTTTTTTTTTTTTTTGCAGAATCAGAGACAGAATTGAAGCAACTAACTAAATCCAGTTGATGAAGAACGTAATGAACAAACTATCAAAGAAACTATAAAACCCACTACTTGAATTACATATAAAATGACAGAAACATGTAATACAATCCAAATTTTTAGAAAAGAATACAGAATTCAGAACTGGGCTTGAATAAACCTGGAACCAAAACAACAATTCACCCCTATCTCTCTCTAGCATGTGCAATGGGCAAGAAAGAGAAAGGGGTTTATGGGTTACTTTCGAACGGGCTGTGAGTGAAGCTTTGCACAGAATAGAGAGAGAGAAACCATAAGCAATCTGTAAAGGGCAGAGGCTTGGGTAACAAGGCTGTAAACAGAGCTGGTTCCGAGCCTACGAAGACCGTAGGTTGGGGAATAAGTGTCGGCAGCCCAAGAGTGATGGTGTTAGTTGTACACTACTACTGTCTTGTTTGGTTGGACTTTAAAAAAGTTATCCTTTTTTTGTTTTTGTTCTTGTTTTATTATTAATTTTTAATTATAGTTCTTTTATTTATTTGCTTATTTATAAGAATGATTGGGTTTTGATTTTTTGTTTTTCTTCGTACCAAAATCTAATTCACGTCTGGAAATATATTCCCTTTCTTTTTACTTAGTTTTAGTTTTAAATAAAACTCATCCTATAATCTCTTTAAAAGGAGGGTTAGTTATTTAAAAGTCCTACTTACATATTTGGTGGTAGTTTAGATTCTATCAAAAAGTTTTTGAACCAATAAGTCCCATTTAGAGGTAAAAAGATGTTTTGCCCTTTAATTCCAAAACTGAGAATATTCTCAATTTCAAAACTGAGAATGTTCTCAATTTATAATTATCAAAATCAAGAAATTTCTCAATTTTTTTTCTAGTATGAACTGAAAATATTATCAAAATTAAAAAATTTATAATCATCAATTTTGAGAAATTTCTCAATTTTTTTCATGATTAAAATTGAAAATATTATAAACTAAGAAGGTTTTCAATTTCAAAAAACTATGGATCACACCCATAAACAGAGCACCTTGTTGTTCTGTCTCTTAAAAGCCAAACGTTGAGAAAAGTTTCTTCTATGTCAGAGTTTCCTCTCTCCATGATTCTCTCTCTTCTTTTTCCAAATTCGAACGAAATTTACTATCCTCAGTTCATTCTCTTACCATCACCTCCACCGTCACCCTCCTTTCTCTTCCCTGATTCTACATTCATCCAATTGTCTCTTGAGAGGGTAATTTGTATGAATAAATTGGGCCGAGATTGGGTGATGGGCCGTTTTGGGCCGTAGTAAGAAAGGCGGAGTAAAATGGTTTTTTTCATTAACTCGGTCCAAGAAGGCCTTGTTGTTATCTCAGTCGCCACGACCAAATTGGTTAGTTCGGTCATGGCATGTAAAGCCGAGGTGGACGTGAGGAAGTATACTGAGCCCTCTTCAGGATTTGGTTTTGGGTTAGTTCAGTGTAGGCTCTTCTCTGGATAGCTCGGTTTTGGCATGTGAAGCCGAGGTAGGGGAAAAACAAAGAATAGCCGAACTAACAGTTAGATCGGTTATGCCAGTCAGTCTAGCATGGCAATATTATTTCGGTTGTATGGTAGCCCGGCCATGATATAACCATCTCACTTGGTTTAAGCAGTGAGGGGGGTGTTGAAGGATAAGCATTATTCTTCAGGAGTATGAATCCTAGGAGGACTCTACATGGAGGAGTAAGAGTCCCACTTGGATTGTGCCACACGGAACCTATAAAAACTCACAAATATTACCTTTGGAGAGGTAACACAACTTTGATTCTCGAATTCACAGAGCTTCTTGTCTACTTGTCTGTTTTTCTGACTTAGGCATCGGAGGGGTTTCCGGCACACACTCGTCGGCTAGCTCACGTTTGTGTTTTCAGGGAGTAAAACGACGTCGTACGGAGGAGCGCAGACTTGATCAACAGGATTATACGAGAAGGTTTATTTCTTTCCCGTACAATTGGCGCCGTCTGTGGGAATTCAGACAAGAACAAAACCTCTTGATCAAGCTTTACCTCTTTAGGAACAATGGCGCACAATAAAGATTTGCCACAATCTGCCACAGACGGACAAACACCAGATGGGGGTGCAAGGCATGAAGGACTACCTTCTATCCCTCCCATGGCAGACTTGGAGCCCCAACGACATAGCCCCAGGAGGGATACTAGGGGAAGGCGGACTAACAGCCCCCGTCACTCTCGTTCACAAAGTCCTGACAGGCAAAGGCAGAGGATTGATCCTCAAGTTCTGGAGGACTGCGTGAAGGAGCAAGACGAATTAATAAGGAAGATGGCGGCGGACATGGAGGCCTTGAAGCGCCAGATGAAGGGAAAATGAGTGGCGACAGGAGAGGAGCGCAAAAACAAGATGCCCCCTCGCTGCTCAGAAGACCATGGAAGGCATTCCACACCATCACAAGCAGAGAGTAGAAGCCTCAGAACAGGCGATACTCAGTCTAGAACCTCCAGAACTCGTTACTCCAGGTCTGAGAGAACGAGATCATTGAGGTCTTACACAGAGGGAAGTACCTACCGACCCTCACACTCGCACCAAACATCATCTAAACAGACGGAGTTGCCAAGATCATCCGATTTACAGATCATGCTGGAAGAAAAAGCACGATGGAAGGAGGACACCAGGGCGCACGACCCTCGCAGAGTTTCTACCCTTCAACGATTGGCTCCTCGATCGCATGGAAGCGTCGAGGTTGGAATGCCATTACCACGCCCTGCCTACGAACCGACAGACAAAGCATTAGCAAGGCTGCAGACCTTGCCGTTCGTTCCGGCAATTGAAAGTGCGCCCCTACCTACAGGCTTCCTTCAGCCCAAATTCACTACGTACGAGGGGAAGACGGACCCCTACATTCACCTAAGCCACTTCCGCCAGGTTATGGCGGTATATCGGCGAAACGAGGCTCTAATGTGCATCCTCTTCCCGTCAAGCCTTGGCGATCTAAGCTTGACTTGGTTTGAAAAACTTCCAGAATGCAGTATAGCCTCCTGGGCGCAATTGGCGGAGGCGTTTGTCACAAGGTTCAGAACAAACACCAAAATCCCAGTGGAGATTGACCAGCTACTCTCCATCGACATGGCCGAAAAAGAGACATTAAGGTCCTACAATAGTCGCTACTGGGAGACATTCAACCAGATTGGGAACTGTCCCACCAATCTCGCCATTGCACAACACAAGAGAGGCCTTCCGGTCGGGAACAGATTAAGGGACTCAATCACCATGACACCACCCCTCACTATGGAAGCCTTGATGGAAAGAGTACATCAGCACATTAGGGTAGAAGAGGATGACGCACGTGCCAAAACAAAATCTGGCACGACCACAATACCAGAGAAGAAGGCCTCAGCAAAGGTCAACGCAGTAAACCGTCCAAGCAAAAACAGACGAGGCAGACGAGACAACAACGAGGACCAGGATAAAAGATGGTTGAGAGTCCACACTGCCATAACCACGGTCTTCAAGAAACCGATCTACCGAATTCTAAGTGAAATACGGGATGAGCCTTTCGTCAGATGGCCAGCCAAGTTGGAAGAAGTACAAAAAGACTATGACGAGAGGTCCCGGTGCACCTTCCATGATGAAAAGGGGCACCGCACTGAAAATTGCACGCCATTGAGACAGCACTTGGAGGAGTTAGTGGCAGCAGGTCACCTGGATAAATACATTGAAGGAGGGGCCCAACCAGCCCCCCAGGACCATAACAACCCTAACGAAATGCCAATCGACGCCCTACCTCAAGGCGTTATCAATGTGATACATGGAGTTTTCGAACCCGAGCGTGTATGCGAGCTCAGAGGATCAATCAAAAAGGCTGAGCATTTAAGAGAGGTACAAAGTGCCAAACCTGCCATCAAGAAGGGGAAGACAGAGGCCACGAACGTCATGTCTTTTTCGGATAAGGACTTGGCAAGGATATACTGCCCTCACAATGATGACTTGGTTGTCACTCTCCGAGTCAAGGATTTTGACGTCAAGCGGATTTTGATAGATCAAGGCAGTTCATGTGAAATAATGTACTACGACACCTTTAAACAGTTGAAATTACAAGATAAAGACTTGGCACCTGCTGTATCTCCCCTGATTGGATTCAACTCCATGCCAGAATGGCCCGTTGGCAAAATAATCCTCCCAGTCAAGGCAGGAAGCGTGACGAAACAAGTGGAGTTCTGGGTATTAAAGGTCTCCTCCACTTATAACATTATCTTGGGCAGAACATGGCTGCATGCCATGCAATCGGTAGCGTCATCCTACCACCAAGTAATGTGGTTCCCCAACGACACCGGTGTAATTGAAGAGGTCTATGGAGATCAGATTATGTCCAAGCAATGCTTTATCACGGTGAATGGCAGCCGCGCTGCCAAAGGATATGTTCATTCGGTGGAAGAACCTGAGAGCAATGAACTGTTCGCAGATGTAGGCAAAGTAGCTAATCAGAAAGCGGTAGAAGACTTGGTAGAGGTAAGAATAGATAAAAAGAACCCGGATAAGTTCTTTTTGCTCGGTTCATCGTTGTCCAGCACTGAGAGATTAGAGGTCTTGAAATTTTTAACCTCTAATATCGAAGTGTTTGCCTGGACACCATACGACATGCCAGGCATTGATCCCAACTTCATCTGTCACCAACTCAATGTCCATCCATCCGCCAGACCAATCATCCAATGCACCCGTAGATCGGTACTCCACCATGCCGAGATAATGGCTGAAGAAGTAACAAACCTGCTGGAGGCAGGAGCAATCAGAGAGGTGCACTACCCAAGATGGATCTCCAACACAGTCGTGGTGCCAAAGAAGAATGGCAAGTGGCGTGTCTATGTCGACTACAAAACAGTCAACAAGGCATGTCCGAAAGACAGCTTTCCTCTACCACAGATAGATCAACTGGTCGATCGAACGGCGGGGCACAACCAACTTAGCTTTCTGGATGCATACAGAGGCTACCATCAAATCGCCATGCATGAACCAGACCAGAAGGTCACATCCTTTACAACTCCAAGAGGACTATACTGTTACAAGGTCATGCCCTTTGGCCTAAAGAACGCAGTGGCAACATTCCAACGGATGGTCACCAAGATGTTTGAACCATTTTAGGCAAAACAATGGAGGCTTACATCGACGACATGGTGGTCAAGAGCAAGGATGAGAATGACCATCTCAAGGACCTAGGCGAGATGTTTGAGATCCTGAAGAAACACAAGTTGCGCCTCAATGCATCCAAGTGTGCGTTCGGAGTAGGATCTGGCAAATTCCTGGGCTTCCTTGTGACCAACCGGGGTATAGAAGCAGACCTCTCCCAGATTAAAGCAATCCAGGAT